AAGCCAGCATATCCTGCACTGCTCACCAGGAATAAATAGAGAAAATAATAAATAAATAAATAAATAAATAATGGGCAAACCTCAAAGTTTTATACAGTACAAGCTCATAGAACTTGCCTCTTAGTAGGAGTAGTGGCTATTTAAGCCTGTGAGTATGGAAATGGCCTAAAGCAGTTGGTAACTTATGTCCAACAAAGAGAGGGCTTTGTACATTCCTGTAAATAGAATTACAGCTCAAAAATCAGTGACATCAAGACAGACTTTCCTAAAGGACTGAGTGCACTGCTTGAACTTCTCGGATCAAAAGGCAGCAATAGCAACTGAAATGAATTCCAGTTTGCAAGGTCAGACCCTGTGAATTGGTACTATTGTGCCACGGGCAAACAGAAGAGAAACTGCAAAAAGTAAGAATATCCATGAGAAACTAAAGCAGGGCCTGAAATGGCTGAACACACGGAGGGGATATATAAGTACCTGTGAGCCTGCACAGAAAGGTGAACTGCAGCAAAGATCCAAAGTGCTGAGGAGAAACAAGGCATAACAGAAACCTGTTGACTGGACATACAGACACGAATGGGTCAAGAGACTTGTGAGAGATCCATACAAGCATATATCCAGCTTATCTACCAACATCTATAAGGATGAGACTGAATCACCTTAGGCCATATAAATGTGAAAGCACCAATTCTTAGGGAAAAGCACAAGGACTGCTTTGGAGCTGACCAATGTCATGGTTCTTCATTCCGGTTATTTCAGCCTTACTGTGATGAAGAACATGGGAATCTGGGAATCTGCCCTATGCATCAGAATTGGTATTGACATCCTCCAAAGTTCAAACTGTACCCAAAAAAAAAAAAGTGTGGAAAAACTTACATTAGAAATAAATAAAGCCCAATCTATTTCCCTTAACTACACTAAATATTTTCATGTGTATAAACAGAAAACCATACTAAAAAAGGAATGTTGTGATCCAAGTCAGAGCCTCCATATGAGAGATGGCTGCATACGTAAGTCATAGCAATGAGTTCATCGAGTTTTGGGAATCCTGAAAGCCCTCCAGCTAACCTCTCACTGAGTTTGTCATTCCAGCTGTAGGACATGCAGAACATTGCATCACCAGAACATCTAACAGGATAATATAGGTAAAGGATGTTTAGCCCTTCCCATGTAAGAAGTGTAAACACACCTGCAGCTCGTAATTATTGTTAATCTATGAGTCACAGAAGCATCAACACTCATTGCTCTGCAGGAAAATCAGATTTTTGGACACACGTTGAGCTCTCAGGCAGGCATCTCACGTAGCAGTGAGTGTATCAGATTATTTCATTACATATTATTTTTTTCCCTTTTGCACTGCACAATCAACAGCAAAGGAAATGTGAACTGTTACTGCTTTTTTCAGCCTACAGCAGCCAGAGGATCACTCACTGCTTTGTAATCAGTTCTGCTTAGGTAAAAGAGCTCAAAGACATGTAACACTTCATAAGTGTCATTATGTCATGACTTACTCTCCAGGACAACTAGTGGTGACAAGACCACAGGGTAAACCACAGCTTGATTGGTTGAACATCTGGAGTTCATAAGTAAAAAATATAGTTTCCTACAAATTGAGCAGATGTCACTATTTAGAAAATGACAGACCCCCCCCAATATGTTGCACAGCCTTGTTCCACAGAAAATTACACTTTTAGATATAAAGACTCACAATTTGCACTAATGTTACAGAGATAGAACTACTACATTCAGAGGAATTATTCTTTTCAGCTCTACAAATAACTCATGCTTTAAAATGAGATTTTAAATATATCTACATCTATGCACACCTACCTAATCTAACTACACTGTTCACCATTCTTCCTTCCTGGTTTCCTAAGATCTGCTTCACCTCCTTTTTGTTTCTAGGCAATATCTAAACACTTTCGTTCATATACTGTATGACATGACTCACACATTATAATAAGTTGTGACGTGCATAGAATTACTTATTCAAAACCACTTTGTTAAGATTTCTTTAACAAAATATTAGGTTAAATTTTTCCCACTTAAGTTTAATATCCTGTTACATCCTATATTGAGAAGGAGTTAAAGTGAACTTCACCTTGTATTTCACATTGAGACCAGTAGGGTACAGAAAACAAACTTTTTTTTCTTATATGAAGTCATGCAGAGCATACCTGTTGTTTATGCAGTTATTTGCTGACCAGAATTACCGTACTTAATAAGCCTTCATGATTGTCCAAAAGGGAAAAAAAAAAAGAAAAGCACCCACAAGCCTGCTGTTTATCAGCAAACTGGGCGAACAGCACACGAGAGGCAATCCAGGAAAAGCCAGGTACACTACGAAACATGTCTTAAGATGTGACTCATTCTTTGGCACCAGCTTCTTTTACTGAATTCCCAGGAATTCCTCCGCATTTCAGAACTGACAAAAGGAAACAGTCATCTATGGGCATTCCCGAGGACATATGGGATCAGTTTCTTACTCAAGACTTACGCAGGTCAAATTTCCCTGAAGTCAGTGGTGTTTTCCTCAGGGGACTGCTGGTTTTATCCAAAGCACTATTCATGCCAAGTTTTCAGTACTCGGATGCAAAGCTTGATTTTAATACATTGATACAATGCTACAAATGTAACTGTATTATAAAGGCTTCTGTTTGGTAGCTCACTAAATTCCGTGATGCTCGGTGTAAGGATATCACTGCCCCATCTGCAAGCACGGGATTGCCGAGTTTACTTGTAGTTTGCTATTTGGATTGGCAGGAAACCAAACGTTTCTCCATTTACAGGGCTTCATCATGCGTTTCTACAAAATATTTTGACAGTCAGCAAAAGCAATCTTGCTCCAGATTTTTCACTTAGCTCTGACTGTAAGACAGTAATGAAAATGTAACACTACGGTTTTTTCCCTTTTCCTACTACTGTACATGAAAACTGTAAAGTGCAGGGATTTTAAAGCAGGAACTTTACCTTCTTCACAGCAAAATCAGTGTCTTAAGGTTGTAGAATATAACTCTGAACAAGTAAAAAGTCAAAAATTGTATTCCCTCAAATCCCACACAGTGAAATTAAGGACAATTTCACTGTCCTTAATCATGGATTATTTACATTATTTATTAGATGAAATGGCAGATATGCCAGAGACCTGTACCACAGACAAGTGTTTTAGCCTTTTCTGTCACACAGGATCTTCTATGCACATAAAATTCAGTTATATTTTCAGAAATAGCTAAGCTAATGGACTATTTTGAATCTATTACTTGTAATATTTTGAATAACTTTCTAGCATAATTAAGATGACAAAATAGTGACTTTTCACCTCAAAAAAGCTTAATTGAATCACAGAATAATTCAGGTTGGGAGGAACCTCAGGAGGTCTGTTGCCCTAACTCCCGCTCAAAGCACTTCCAATGTTTGATTACCCTTAAAAGTTTTCCCTGTACTTGATTGCAACTTATCTCATTTGAATCTGCACCCATGGTCTTCATGAAAGGCTGAAATATTCTGTCTTGTATTTCATATGCACCACTACCATGAGACTTTTGCTCCATCACCAGCACAACTGTCTCAACTCTGAAATTCACCAACTTCTCCTTTCTTCACATTCCCATTCCTGTAAATTCTTCCATACAAATTTTTCACTGCTGTATCTTTTTACCCTGACACCTGCTAACACAGGTGGCTAATCTCTATCTCATCAATTAAAGTCTTATCTTTTTGCCCCCTCTACCAGTTGCATGTGGTGATTTTCACTTGCTCTCTGTTGGACAGTTGGGCTTCTTGGTCCAGAAACATCTCCTGTGGTTGTGCTGAACCTTGTGCAATAAGGCTGTGTGCACACACAGAGCTCCATGTTGTACACATTCTTATGCACACGCATACATATGCATACAATTAATATTATTACAAGCAATAACCAAATGTAATCTAGGCTTTGTTTTCATACTAGTTTAAGGCTTTTTCCTGCCATGCTGTTCCACCAGAATAGTAACATGGACATAACTAAACCAATCCAAAATATACTCTCAGTCCAGCTTACTGTACTCCCCGTCCTCCTATGAGAAACACCACACCAGCGTGACCTCTCTAACAGCAACATTATTGATTAACAAGTTCTGTCTCTACGCTGCCAATAAAAAAAGTTATTCCCCGCAGGGACAGCCAGTGGGCACCTGTTTGTTCAGTGTCAGGGAGCTGGTTTTGGTCTCGTCAGCTCATCCTGAGCATATAAACACTGGCTGGCGACATGAATTTTGATGTCTTCGAGGCCTTTCTTAAGAAAGATGCTCCTCCAAATCTGCACAGGCACGCGGCTTTTGAGGAGAGATGTGCTGCTCTGGGTCCGGAGCCACCCCCCTGCCACCGGTGCAGGTACAACACACACAGAGCATTTCCCGGGCGTTTTTTCTCCCGCTGTTGCCTCAGGATCTGGCGGCAGGGCCAGGGTGGGATGCAGGTGCTCCATCCCGGCCGGTCCCGGGAGGCGGAGCGGGGCGAGGGGCCCGGCCCGGGGCCGCCGCCGGCGGGGAAAGTCCCGTCCCGAGCCGGGAATTCCCGCAGCGGCGCCGGGAGGACGCCGCGCTCCGGGGCTTTCGCAAGGCGGAGCCGGCCCCGTCCTCCAGCTCCCCGAGGGACCCTCGCCCCGCCGGGACCCCCCGCTTCCCCTCCGCGGCCCCGCTCCCCGCCCAGCGCCCCTCCTGCCGCCGCCTCCCCTCTTTCCCCCCTCAGCCCGGACTTTCCCCGTCCCCTCGGAGCCTCCCGCTCGCCCCGGGGCTCCTCCCTCGCCCCCGGGTTTCTCCCCCCGCCCCCACTGCCTGTTCTCCCGTTCGGCCCTGCCGGGGTTCCCCGCCTGACGCTGCCCCCGGGGCCGAATCCCGGGCTGGCGGCCGGGGAAAGGGCTCCGTGCCCGCTCGGGGCTCTCCCGGGGGCGGAGCGGCCCCGCCCCGGCCCGGCCGAGCCCTTAAAGGGGAGCGGCCGCGCCTCCTGCGGCGGGGAAGGCGGAAGAGTGGAGAATCTGCTGGCAGGGCCCTGCTCTGCTTCGGGATTTTATGCACCTGTCCGGGTTACTGCTCGCCCTGGAGAAGGAGGAGAAGGGACCTGTCCCGGCCATGTGCTCGGTAAGCGAGGGCGGCAGCACAGACCCCTTCGTAGCCCGCTTCAGGCAGGTGGAGGAGACGCTGGAGAAGCTGCACCGGGAGAACAGGAGCCTGAAGAACAAAGTGCCTCGGTACAACGCGCTCTGCACCCTGTACCACGAGTCCGCGCAGCAGCTGAAGCATCTCCAGCTGCAGCTGGCGGCCAAGGAGGCGACGATCCGGGAGCTGCGGGGCAGCCTGGCCCGGCAGCCGCAGCCCCCGGCGCCGGGAGAGGCGGCGGCGGGCGCGGAGCCGGCCCGCTCGCTGGTGGAGAGCCTGCTGGAGCAGCTGGGACAGGCCCGGGAACAGCTCCGGGACAGCGAGCGGCTCTCGGCGCGGAGGGTGGAAGCGCTGAGCCAGGTAAAGCTTTGGAGCGCAGGGAGGGGCCCCGCGGGAGCGGCGGCGGCATCGCCGCGCGGCTCTCTAGAAAGTGAGGGGTTTAAGCGCAGCAGCGCTGGTGCGGAGCGCAGGATGCGGGGATTCTGCTCCCAGACTGCCCGCTCGGGTGATGGGAACAGCTGGGGGCGCGCAAGGGACGCGCCCGGCGCGGCTCAGGAGCACAGACACACGGGGAGTGTTTGCACCCTCGCCTAGCGATGCTGGTGCCTTTTACAGGACTTGCTCCAAAACAACTCAGCCCTCTGTATCCGACAGTGGCTTCCATTTAGCGTTAAGTTCAAAACCGTAAAATCCTAAAACAAAGACTTAGCGTGGCGTTATAAATCTTCATGCAACTGTTTTCATAAGGAAAAAAAGAAAAACAGTAAAAAAATCCGCCTGAATTTGGAATTCCATATTACTTATAGAAGACTACTTACTGAAAATTATTATCAGATGCAACAGTTTTCTAAGATGATGCCACCAGTTTTTATATTAAAGTGTAGTTTGTTTTTTTTCTTAAAATGCTCTTATGTATTGACATAAAGGCAGCATTTTTAAACTTGGAGAAGTATCATCTGACAAGTTTGGATTGTGAGGAAATAGATAGGGAAATCAGTATCTTTTTTGACAGAAAAAAAGTCTCAAAACTGCATCCCTCCCATCTACCACAAGTGCTGTTTTGGTTACTGTCATTAAGACTTTCCTGTGTCCAGTCTGAAATACTCAAAAGAATTTTAAAGCATTTGTTTCCAGATGAAGCTGCATTAAGTAATTTCCAAACTGAGAAACAGTACTCAAAATGGAAACGAGTATTTTTGTCATAAGCAGTCTCTTGACCTAATGCTTATACAAAACATTTTCCATATATGACACTCACCTAAAATACATTTTAAAAACTTCATGCTTGGAAATTTGTTATAAGAGATGATCTTATTGACACTTCGCAGACAGATGACAAACCCGTGGTATCTGAACATATTTTGAAGGCTGATGCTGTATATCTTTAGCATTTAGCATGGGGCTAAAGAATTTAAATGTCAGTAATAAGAACAAGTGCTATTTCTCTGTGGTAGATGTTAAGATTTATTTCTTGAAAGAATAAAATTTTATGCCCAATCAGAACACTGAAATAACTGACACTGAAAATAATAACTGGGATGATAGAGTCAAGTTTGTAGCTGTCTCATGGTCTGTGCTGGCATCCAGGGCACCCTTGGTTCTGGAGGAGCAGTGCTGCTGAGGTTTCTGTTACCAGCATCTGCTACTTCTTGAGGGTATAGAGCACAAGTTTTTTGACAAAGTCAGGACTGGTGTATTTCAGGTGCATGGAACCACAGGTGGTTTGCCCCAGTCAGCAAGCAAACCTCTTCCTTCTCAAAACACCTGCAGAGGTGTTACCTTAATGCAGTGTGGATGCAGAGTTTCCAAACCAACAAGAACGTGCAGCAACAAGATACAGGGTTGTTTCCTAAGGGTGTGTCAGACCCCCTCACCTACCTTGGAGAGTCAGCTATGGCCAAACTAGAGCCACTGCTGCCCCACAGATTTTGTTTGCTTGTCCTTACCTTACTGTTCCCACCCTTTCTTAGGTGGGAAAAGTTGCCCTGTGTGCTACCTCTGCTTTATCCTTGTGACAGCACCAGGCAGTGAATGCACTGCATTGGGTTTTGATAAGATGACTTTACAGTTCCACTTTTTTTTTTTTTTTGAGGAAAATCTCTACTATCTGGTAATTTAGAGTGCAGGACCTGTAAGCGTTTCTCAGTCTCCATAGTTACTCCTTTTAAAAGTTTACTCCTTTTAAAATACATTGTTTCTTGTAAGTTCCATCTTCAATTTGTTGCTAAATTCATAAATATTTCCTGAATTTTGCTGCTTGTTCCTCCATTCTACAGACTAGAAAGTACTTGTATAGTTGCCCAAGAAGATTTTGACTGTGTGATCTGTCAGTTCCAAGGTCCTGTAATTATATAGAGATGAACTGGATTTTTTTTTAGTTTTTAGGTACTTTGCAGTGAGTATAGGAGCAATATGGAATAACTGCAACAGGGAATTCAGTCTTAGACATATTTTGGCTTTTGAGTTTACTTTGCTTTTAAGTAACTTCCCCTCCCCCTTCTGTTTAGGAAGTACAGAAGTTGCATCAGCAGCTAGAGGAGAAAAATGGAGAGATACAGCAGATGATAAATCAACCTCCATATGAAAAGGAGAGAGAAATCTTACGACTGCAGAAGACCTTGGCAGAGAAGGAGAAGGCTCAAGCCACCAGTGATGTTTTGTGCCGTTCACTCACCGATGAAACTCACCAACTTCAACGCAAATTAGCCTCCACAGCAGAAATGTGTCAACATCTGGCAAAGTGTCTAGAAGAGAAGCAAAGAAAAGAGAAGAGGAATTCAGATGACCAGATACCTACTGAAAGATCTAATCAGGTATTCTTATAGCTACTACTAAGTGTCTTTAAAGTCTTATTAGCTTCTACGGTGTTAATTACAATATGATAGTTGTAACTGAGGAACGGCGAGGTACATCCCTTTGAACAATTTCATGTAGGGTGTAAAGACTACCCTGGCAAGCTCTAAATAATTCCAAGTACCAAAAGTTTAGGACGGAAGCAGCTATCACTTTAACTTTGGCTATTTCATCTCATCATTGGATGCTTTTTTTGGGGAGGAGAAGAACTTGAGAGGTTCCTTTGACCTCAGCAATTCCACAACTACAATTCTTCTCTCCATATATAGGAGACAGTACCTTTCTTATACCACCCTGTGCTTCTGTGCAGCACTAGATGGTGCTGTGTTTTTGAAGGGGATCTCTCCTGATTGCCTATTTAAGTATCAAAATCACAAAACAAAATAGAGATATTTCAAAGTAGTATTTATATTAAGAACTCTAGAGCACGTGGTTTTCTCAGATCAGGATTTGGCTTTGCACATGTAGTACAGACCTACAGAAAGTTGGTTAGGGAAGAATGAGTCAAGGTGTCTTACCTTTTTTTGGTTTTTTTTGGCTCTGGGATTCCCCCTGGCATCCCACTGCAAGGCCAAGTTTCTCTTCAGGAGAGATGTTTAGAAAAAACGCTTCACAATAGGACGGTGGCAGAAACACTACTGTGGAGAACCAACACCTGGATTTTGGTGTACTTTGCTAATGGCTCTCTGGCTTTGCCACATCATCACCTCAGCTGAAGCTTTTCAGTGTAGGGTAGAGGCAGATCCCGTTGTTCTGTTGCTGCAGAAGTCCTGATGGCTTAGAGTCTTTAGGTAATTCATTATAACACCACAAGGAAATAACATTAGCAGTGCTGCCTCAAATAACTGGTCAGAGTATTAAGTAGGGTGCTACAGCCAGTTCTCACAGAAAAGAATAATTCTGTCTCATGCTCTTTCTCCTATGTGTTGGTACTGCTTTTTTCACATGACCACTTATCTGTGCTGACGTGCTCATGCCTACTCTGTAAAACTTCCCAGCAGTGTTTCCAAAGAAAACTTACTCATGTTAAAGTTACCTGTAAGAAATACTTAGAGGTTGAGTAGATACAAGAAAAAAGGACTTTGTAAAGGACTCGAAACATTTGGTATTTTTGAGGAAAATTTACACGTATTTTACATGTAATTGATAGACAGGAAACTTGATTGACTTTGATATATGTAATAAGTAGCTAACCTTGTACAGTGGGGACTTCCCTGTTGAAGAGGAGAAATTTCAGATGCCACTACTAGCTGATTCTAGGGAATTTTGCACAAAAGTGTTCTATATTACTCATGTACACCGGGGTTTTTTTAAGCAGATGTCACAACTATAAAGAAGAGGTATCATTTTAGTCAATTATTTAGCAAGCAGGGTTTTTTCCCCTCAGTAATTTCTTCCTAGTACTGGCCAAAACTGACAGTAATAACAAAGCAAGATGAAGGCATATCTCTGCCTTTGTCATGCATTCTGCCCCTCCAGACAAGTGGTTTTCCAAGGAGTTTTTGTAACCTGCTAAGCTCTGTTGTCACCAGGTCTATTTAAAAGCAGTACCAAGGTGGTAAAAACCTTAGTACAGTTTTCCTTTACTTATTAATAATAAAAGCTGTAGGCTATACTATTAATATTTAGAAACACACTATATAGAAATAAATAGATCATTATTTCATTGATAGCAAATAGTTTTAGAGGAATTTAAAGAAAAAGGTTACTTCCAGTTTAACAGCATAGCCAAATAGCATCTGGGATTTTTATGTCAAGTAACATTTACCTTATCTGCAAATTACAGGTTTTAGACAATGAAACTTCACTTCAAGCTCTTATCTGCAACCTACAAGATGAAAACAGGATGTTAAAACAAAAAGTGGCTCACGTGAGTACTTTCATTTTGTTTAAGAGTTGATCAATTATTTGGAATTACAGTAAACTTGGGACAAGGCCTGGTTAATCTAATTAAATGTAAGGCAATTCTTCTTAGTCCTTTCAACATAGTTTTTGTTCCCTTAGCCAAGAACAGCTTCTTACATTATTTTTAACGTATTGGGTTTTCGTTGTTAAAAATACAGTGCAGAAGATTTTCGTGTTCCTTCCACGCATCAGTATTGCGCTCTAGGAGAACAGCACTAGGACTAGGGTGACCACCAACCCCTTCCATTCCACATTATTTAATACTGTCCCTTTGGACTGGGAGAGGGGAAAGGCTGCCTGTGAAGAGTCTGCCTTACAACGTGGTAACTCCTGCTCTCCTGCACAGTGGTTTATCCACACTCAGTGGTCGGGTCAGCATGTTAGATTATCTTTCAGAGAATTCTGGTCCTGCACATAAAGACAGTTTGTGAAAGCTTGGAAGTTTTTGTCTTCCTGTTCTTCATGTCTCTCCTGGTTAAACTTTCAGGTGGAAGATCTGAATGCAAAATGGCAGAAATACGATGCGAGTAGGGATGAGTATGTGAAGCGACTCCACGTGCAGCTGAAAGAGATGAAGACACAACTGGAGCAGCAGCACGGCCTGACTTCAGCACAAACTAATTCTGACCTGATGCACAAGGAGATATTCCGGCTAAACAAGCTACTGGAAGAAAAAATGAATGAATGCATAAAAACAAAGAGAGAACTAGAAGACATGAAGAAGGCTAGTGAAGGAGATAACGAGCGCATACAAATGCTGGAGCAACAGGTCATTAAATTTCTTTTTCCTAGAAGTAGGAATTCCTAGTTTCTTCCTAGACCACTGAAGTTCAAGGGGAAAAAATGAATTTATTTTCTGGACATTTGCCAGACATTTGCCAGACATTTGTCTTTCCACATTTGGCTATACAGACACTTAACAACACAGATTTAAAGGAAACTTGCTACTTAAAACAACTGCATGTGGTTCTGCTGGCCTTAATACAAAATATGAAAGACTGTAAAAGAAATACAAGTACCTGTGAAGTACAGATATGATAGAGAAGATAATGCAGAGATTCTGGGAATAAGTAACAAAGGAATCACAGCCTCAGCTTTTCAGTCTCATCCACAAATGCTCTAACTTAACAAATATTAACATAATAATTCTTTTTCAGGTCCTCGTTTATAAAGACGATTTCACATCTGAGAGATCAGACAGAGAACGAGCACAGAGCAAAATACAAGAACTTCAGGCAGAAGTTGCATGTTTGCAACACCAGCTAGCAAGAAGACAGGTAAGAAAGCAGCATGCTACTTTTTCAACTAAAGCATGTCAACAGTATTCTAGACTAAAATATACTTTTAAATACATTTTTAATAAAATCTTAGTACTTCTAAAACCATTTCAGCTCAGTGCAGCTGTCAAAAACTTACATTATTTCATAGTCAGTTCTAGTAGATGCTTCCCAGTACAGATGTAATATCCCTTTCCAGTCTATTTTCCTTCCTATTTTTGGATCAACATAGTAAGGGTGAATTCTTGGAATGAAGACAGCTGTGACTTTTGTAACAGTGGCATTTTTAAAGTAGCATGCTGGCTGTGTTCTGATATTTCTACAAACCTTCTTTATAACTATATTAAGAACACTGCAAAACCTGATTAGTAATTTATTTACAAATATCTGATAAATACTTGAGCAGTGTTTCAGATAAAGGTGATAAAACATCACCTGTTAAAGAATATCTTTTTACTGCATCGTTTTCAAGAGCTCTTCTTTCTCTTTCTAGGACTCAAGAGACACAAGTAGTCATTTCAGAGTTCACGCTGGTAAACAAAATCATCTGTACCTACAGACGAATGTGGAACATCTACAGGGCAACAGCCCAGGCCAAACAGGCACGAGAAGAACACCTTCACAGTCTGAACAAGCTTCTCCTCCTGCGGACAATGGAAACTCGGGATCCGAAGGCAGGGCACAGGGTGAACTCAGATGCCCTCATTGCATGAGGTTTTTCAGGGATGAACTCAGCGATGAATTCCTCAAGCACGTTGCTGAATGTTGTCAGTGACCGCGGGATATGAGGGGGTGTAAGTCAATCACTACTTTATAGACATAAAACTTGGCTCTATACATATCTCCTACAGTCCTAAACAAGAGTAATTCAAATGGAGAGCTCTTGGGAATTAGGAGAATGAACAATATCTACCTCTTGCTTAATTTCACCTTCTCTTGGACTGTATGAAAGGCCTCAAGAGAAAGCAAAGTGTTTTTCTGAAAAATTATTTTTGACAGCTACAAAGAAGAAGGCAAGCATAATGCAAATTCTACTACAACTAAACTGAAACCTACGGTGGTAGTTCAGCTTCAGAGTGCAGCTTGACTTGTATTTGGGTCTAATTCTCTACCGCAGTCTGACAGCTTGTGAAAAAAGTTACTGAACTTGAAATTTTCCTCTTCTTCCAAAAATGCAGGCTGAAGAACAGGGAGGAACATTTTGACAAAAGATAGGAAAAATCTTACTGTGCTTTATCTGGATTAAAAGCGAAAGTATTTTCTGGTCTATTGATGCTGAACTTTCAGACGTATCATCTGAAAATCCTTGTGTTTAACTGAAATCAGAAGAGATAAAAAAAACCATAAAAGGGCTGGTTATTGACTAAACTAGCCTGTCTTTTTGCACAGAGACAAGGTACAGGGATATTTATATTTTCTGTGCCATAAGTAACTATTTTACAGATTTGTAAATGTGTATTTGTGTAATTATTGATTATATTCCTATTTTACCTAAGGATTATTTTTATAATAAAAGTGATCGTGCAGTTGCTTTACTACATTAGTAAGGGGGTTGAAAATCTCCCTTTCAGTGTAAGTATTTAAATGTGAAATAGTCCCAGTGGCTATACTAAGGGCTAATTAAAGGTCACTGCTTCAGATATGACTTATTTCATTACTTCAGTGATAACCAGCTTCTCAGACTATTTTCAAATATGTTGAAAAAAAATCACCTCTGAGCAGAAGAATGACCTTTCAGAGGCAAAGGAACATGTTTAATGCCCTACCTTGCCACACATCTATGACTATGCCAACGCTGCCTTAAATTTCTTCTTGTCTGCACTGGAGAGAACTTCAGCAAATAGCAGGGGACTGCTTTGAGAAGAAGTATCTGAAATTAAAGTTTACAGACATAAGAGCGCCACAGTTTTTCCCAGCCTTGGCTCCAGGTGTTTCTCACTGTGCAAGAGTTGGGGTTAAGGATGGGATACAAAGTAAAGGCCTGCTGCAACCATGGCACTTCATAATTAAAGAAAACAGTCCTGTCTTCTGCTTTGCTTTGTTCCCTGTTCTACACTTTAGGAGCATTGTGGGTATTTTTCTGGATATTTCCTTTTCAGGATCCAGTTGCAGCCCTAAAGGAAGACAGTGGTTTATGCCACTGTTGCCTTAGGTGGGATAATACCAAAAAAGATGGCTGGGCCATTGCACTTGCATGCTGCATGCAATGGTTATTATTAATCTAATCTACAACTGCTTGCAAATCTGTAATTGATTACTAGCCTGTTTTAACCAACACATGTACAAACATGCAGAAATTTTTATTTTTTTCCTTTTTTTAGTGACCATTTTTACATTGCCTTTTAAGGTCCTAAGAGATCAGATGCAGCCCACAGAATATAAGCTGAGAAACATGGTTAAACTTCCTGTGGCATAAACTAATCTTACTTTTTCTGACTGGTCTCATTAAACAAGCCTGGTTTACAGCTTCAGTATACATCAATATGATATTGCCAGTGATTGATACAGCAGAATAGGGACTTGATTTTTTTATTGATTCACCCCATAAGGCAGTTAAAAAACAAAATCAACAGTAAAGCAAGTTAAATCTTGGCAGTGTCTGTTTTTAATTGCAGAGATGATGACTGCTTTAATATACATCAGAAGCTCAAGTCTCCTATAGGTTTCCACTCATGTTAATCCCTGTGGGTAGTTGGACAGACTGACCTACAACTATTAGAAATAGATGCAAGAATTAGAGACAAGAATCTGCAGTACAAAGAAAATAATAGTACATATTTTTTTGGATTTAAGTTCTGTGAATTAGTCCCCAGTCAAAGCAGAGGTTATTTTCATACTAATCCTGGGAAGGGAGGGCACTTCAGTGCTGGGAAACTGGATATACCAACAGCAAGGACAACACTGGACCAACAAACACAAACAAGTGAAGTTATAGATCAAGCACAGATTACAGCTACCACCTAAAGCAATAAATGCTGCAATAAATGACAACTGGAATTTGAGTACCTGGGGCAAAAATCTAGGACAGATCTGTTGGTTTTCTGTACAAAATTACCTCCCTTCAGAGCTGTTTTACTTTATAATTTTCTACTGAGGGTTTTTTTTCCTTTCTGGCTGGTAAAAAGCCTTAACTATTTCTTTCTTGTTTTGGCTTAACCAAGAAAACAGTTACACTGTGAAGAACTACCCATGTCTAACATGCAAATGTTTGCTTCAGATGATAGGGCATAAACTATTGCTCCTAAGAAAAGTTGTCTGTTATGCAGTGCTTTGACTTTTATGCCAAATTGCCTGGTAGATCTCTTGAAGAAACACTAGAAAGTCTTTACTTGCCCCCTCCTCACCAGGCAAAGCACACACACCAAGGCATCCCCAGCAACTGCCACCATGAGCTACATTCACAAATCACATTCCTCAACTTTCACACTAGAATGCATAAAACCTGTCAGCTCCACTGCCCTAACACTGAAATGAAAGCAGCCATGAGTTTCCAGCATTTTTGAACCCTTTAAATTAAGGAAAGCTCCTTCTGGCCTCACACTGGTATTCTCTGCCTGTTGGACGGTCACCCAAGTAGTGTGTCTTTCTTGGTCAAATGGTAAGAACAACCCAACTTCTTTCCTAAAAGAAAGCAGTAAAGGCACAGTGAGTAAGAAAGTAACTGCATACAGTGAAAGGAACTTCAGCAGCATAAACTTTGTGAACTTTCATTATCCATTTTTACTACACTGGTTCACAGAAACACATCATCTGTAAAACTGCAGAGACACGTCCTCACACAAGAGACTTCTGAAATCATACAGAAAAGCTGTATGACCAAATGGGACTCGGTTCTTTATTTGCTGTATCAGTAACAGAAGGCATCCAAGAGCAATGAGCCCTGTTTTCAGGGAAAGTTAATGCCCACTTAGGCTTCCATAAATCTCTCATTCAGGTGACCAGTGCCTGTACTGCCGAGGCATGCCAGTGCTAGAAAACTGACAGAGGTCCAGGACTGCAAGGCCAGGGAGGCTGAGAGCAGGCAAGATAACTGTCTCTTCTGGGACCTGTAGGAATATGTCTTAGCATATTAAGAGCTGCCAAGATGGCTTTGTCCAATTACCTTCATGATTAGTCCATCCCTTCCCCTAAAATTTCTCCTTCAGTAAATGACCTTCTCTCAGTTTTGCTCTAGAAATCAACTTGAGTTGAGGCCCAGGGCAACTCAGAGCTCCTGAGCAGCTGTCTCACCTCACCAGCAATGAGGTTTTCAGACTGCATAACCTCCAGTTGCTGGTCCTCATTTCTCATGTACCTAATTAGAATGTATTTTGCTCGGGATTTTAAAGTAAATGCTGTTTACTAATAACCATGCTGGTTGTCATGCAGAAGTAGGCCCGTAGCACACAATCACGACAGCAGCTGTAGGCAACACTGACTCACTTAGAAAACTTAACTTAGAAAACACAACCACAAAAAGCCTCAGATGTTGGTATCTACCCCAAAAGCCCAAGGGAGAAAAGATCAACAATAGTGCTGTATCCTGCAGCACGGGCAGCACCGAGCCTAAAAAGCTTCTCAAATAACCTGCAACTTCTAAGGCAATGTCTGCTTCCCCCTCCAATGATTTAGGACATCACATCTTTTAAAACAAGCTTTAAATGATGCCTAAAGATTAAGTGCTCACTAATAATAAAACTGACTACAAGAATAAAATTTATTCAAGAAGCAGATACCTATGCTCTATGATTTTTTTAAAACTTCCATTTCCTGTGGCTTTGCTGCATGTGTATATATAGAAAGCAAGGGAAATTCCAAACAAGATGCCACACCATTATACTCAGAACAGCAGTGCTTCTCATTCTAAAAAAGGGAAGTCTCAAATGCTTTTTCTACAAAATCTATGTGAATTCAAAGTATGCTGTAGTAATATTTCATAGTACCATGCTCCAGTAGCTATCAGCTGGGGGGAGGGGGCATTTCAGCTTAAAACCTAAAGCACAAGAAATACTTCTGAAGCACCAGGTCAGCCCAGCAGGACCTCAGCAGAGGAATGGGGTATCAGGTTAAGCACTCCTGCCTTCTCACCTGATGCCTCAAATCCCTTGCTAAGGACAAAGCACAGCCCACCACCCTCACTGAAGTGTTCCCTGCCACAGGCTGTCCTAGCTAGGGGTTCAGGGCTCCAGCAAGGTCAAATGGGGATTTAGAAGGTGCTGCAGTAACTGCTTACTGAGGGGCTTCCTGAAAGGCACCAACCATCCCCAGTGGCAGAGCACTTGTGTCTCCATTCCCACTGCTGCTCAGTGTGTTCTTCCCGTTTCTCATTAGTACATCCACTTTTTCCTCCTCTTTTTACACTTGCTGGCATCACAGTATGTGATGGATGTACGGTGTCCATAGCGGCCAACAGCCTCCCTCAGGAGCTTGAGGTATTTCCATGGCACATGGAGCTCTGGTGTGGACAGCACTGAACCAGATGGTGGGTTACAAGACAGCTTATTTAAAATGGGTTTTTTTGGTGCCTTCTAGAAGTTGTGCTTAACCACACTCGTTGCCTCACCACCTTTCCCCGGGCCAGCTCTCCAGCACATCTTTTGGAGACCTGGCTGATTGCTGGGCTGAGCACCCGTGAGCAGGGCAGGTGCCTGCTCGTGCTGACCCCCACCTCCTTGGTGTCACAGCAACTCACCTTGTCTGAGGCTTTCACCCTCTAATTTCTAAAGGAGTGGGAGGGAGGAAAGAGCAGTGGGACCTTCCTCCCCCATCCTGCACTCACCAAATCTCTTTGTCAAATCTGTCTTCATACAAAAAGCATTTGATGTGTTTTTTAAATCATAGGTAGGCACCTTAGTTACATACAAATATTACAGGCCGTTTATACACAAGGGATGTGTTACCAGGCAGCCTGGCATGTGCCCACCAGCTCTTTGGCCAGCACTGGCACACTGCTGAGCTGTTCAGTTTCATGCAGCCAGACTTCCTCCAGCCACGTCCCAAACCTCCCCTGCACAGCCCAAAATGTCACAGTTGAATGAAACAATGGGTTTCTCAGCTCCATGTCCTTCTCCACAGCAGTCTGGACTTGGGTGATACCTGGGGTTACCTCCTCTGCCAAGATGAGAGCCTACACCATGGGAACAGTGCCTTGATGGCACAAGATGACAGCCTGTCCTCTCCCTCCAATCCCTCTCTCTGGGCTGTGCCAGCTGTAGTTTCAACGAGCCAGCCACCTGCTGTGCCCTGAGCTGGGAGGAGAGCCACAGGCACACGGACCAGCTCTGGGAGCAGCCCCACTGTGATAAAGCCCTCGTTTTTTCCTGCCCAATGCAAAGCAGGAAGCAGGTCTCAGACCATGCTACAACAAGGCAGGGTCTCTATCTCTCTGGGGACGCACAAGTGGGGAGGTGAGAGACACTCAGATCTCCTTTGACTAAGCAATCCCAGCTCACACAAGAGGGAAAAGGAGCAAAGAAAGGAGCTCACCCACAGAAGAATCAGTCCTCATTCTGAGCATCACCACCACCATCTCAGGGAAGTTCAGGCATGCACAGAGGCATGCAAAGGTCCGCAGACATTTGAGAAAAAAATATCACCTACCAAGAGAAAGGGGGACCTGGTGGGATGTGAAGTGCTTCATGACCCGCAGGTGAGCACAGTCTAATAGAGCATCCTACTCCTCCTTCCCACCACCCAAACTTGCCCTCAGCAATGCAGATCTAATTTAGTGGCTCTCAGCTCCTCTGCTGACCTCAGCACTGAGCACCTGCTCCACTTCCTGCAAGGCCTGTTCTTACCTCCCCAGGAGGAAGGACAGCTTTCCCAAGTGTCATCCCCAAAGACAGCTAGCAGATGGGAACCAGACACCTCTGGAGGAAAAGGGATCTTCCTTTGATCCTGGCCTCTGCCCTCCACCAAAACCAGTCCAAATTTGAGCCCTAAACCGGGTTGATTCTTACCAGCAGATACGCCTGTCCCCCATGAGACAAACATACTACATTTTAGGAAATTGGCCCTTGAGCACTGACTCTGGCCAGAGCCACTGAGCAAGGCCCAAAACAGACCTGTTGTAGTGTCCTGAGAAAACAAAACCTAGAGCAGTTCCCATCCTTAGGGGTATCCAAGACTCATTCAAGCACTTGGCAAGAGTCCACCCCTGCCCCTCACATATCACAATGGGACAAAGCAAAGAGCCAGAAGAGCAACAGCAGCACAGAGGTGTGAGTGGGGCAGAAGTCCACCAGGAGCTTGCATCTTCCAAAGGCCTCCTTACTCTCAACAGGGCAGGACCCCTAAACCACACCGTGTTTCCCTGGCAGTTTAGTGATGCACTGAAACAGCACCTGTTACACATGTCTGGTGGGCACAAGAGAGGATGTGTTCTTAAGGAAGGCAACTTTCCCCCTGTTTGGGTATCTCAGTGCAGGCCCATCTGGGCACAGAAGTGGGGAAGGTCTCCACTGCAGGGACAGCTCTCCAGAAATACATGACCCCTACTAAGAGGCCAGCAAACCTTCACTTGGGAGGGACAAACTGTCCCTGTAGTTAGGATTGAACAGATGTCAACTGTGAATGTGCATAAAATGATTCTTAGAATGAGGGACACGTCCCCTGTCATACTCTGGAGCAGAGAAGTGACGGAAGTCTGTCTGTCTGTGCTTTGCTGCTGCACAACCCAGATGAGGGGCATCACACCCAATGCAACTGCCTGGAGAGAGCATGAGGTCTAAATGTTGTTAAAACTTGCATCTATCCATGGCAGGAGTGGAAAGCTATAAAAGCCTTTTTATTTACTGCAGTTAAAAAATTCATTGAGGTCCACAGTGACCTATTCTAATTGCTCTTAAAACAAGTCTCCTGGTTACCAGTCAGTATTTATTTGTCTGGGATGCTCTCTGATGGGTGAGCATGTTGAGAGGGGAAGACATGAGAGTGTCCAGAGCACGTGAAGGTCCTCCAATTCTACAGAACAGTGCCTACAACCTGCAGGAAGAGCAGGTGAAATCCAAACTAACCTCATCACTACTGAGCCATGTCCTGGGAGCAGCTTTTAAACAGGAAGCTGAAGCTCATGGTTCCAGTTATTGCAAGGTCAGACCTAAAATTAGTGATGTAAAGTAACCCTCTGATGAGAAGTGGAAGGAATACACATGAAGGTACATGGCATCACCAGAGACTGAACAAGGAATGGGGGGGTTTGCAGAGAATCTCAAACTTGGGTGTTCCTGGCAATAGGCATGCATGTGCAGGTACACCTACTTCTTGTGCTGAGAAGGGATTTCAGCCTTTATTAGAGGGTGAAAGATGCAAAATAAGCTCCGACTCAGAGTTGGCACCTCTTGTTTTTCAATAAAGCAGAATTTTGACAACATCTTCATGACAATAAAATAGCTTTAAAACACAAGTAATCTCTTTTAATAAGACTGAGGAGGCCAGGCCCTCTCTCTTTCCTGAGCATTTCACTTAGTGATCATCAGAGCCCACTTTTGTCCTATTCCAATCCCAGTCAGACACAAAAATAGTTTTTGGGGTGTTCACCATCAGTTCACTGTCACCTAGAGCTCCTGACACCAGCTACCCCAGATGAGAGCCTCTAAACACCAAGCTTGTCCCCACAAGCACCAGCAGCAATTGCCTTTCTTACTTCTTCAAGTACCCTTTGTATTATAGAGATGAGTGGTCACCAAAAGGCATTTCAACTCCAGTGGTCACACCATCACTTTCCTCTGTGGCACCTGGAAGGTTTCACACCTTTTCAGGGCCAGTCTTGTTGCAAGAGAGATATTCCAAAATAAACAGGGCACAGGTGGTGCCCTGGTGGTTTGCTTGGCCCAACGGGGGGGGGGGGGGGGTGTCTCTGGAATTTGAGAGAAACACCAAGGTAAAGATGTAGACTAGACCAGGGCGTTTTAGAGACTAAAGTCTGTGGCCAAGACTAGGACCCAGCGTGGGGTGCAGGCAGGCTTTCCCCTCCTACACAAGATCTATCCTTTGATAACCAGGTATAGAATCCCCTAAACACTCTGCATGGTGATAGCTCCTAGGGACAGTGGAAAAAATTGATGAGCACAACCACCTTGTCACTGCCACCCAAAGAAATAGGTGAAAACTTACTCCGTGAACTGTTTTGAGGCTTTGTTTTGTTGCACCTACACACACCAGTTGCATGGCCCCACACCCCCTCCTTCAAAATGTCACAGTCTTCAACTCTAACAACAACCACTGAGGGGGAAATATAGTGTGTGCTGGCCAGGGTAACTCCTATGCTGTGGGGACAGCACTGGTCTGGCCTTTCCCCTCCACTCAGGGTTTGTGCCCACCTTGTTGTGAGTTTCCTCCTGGTGGCATCTCCTTTGACAGACAGTGGGCAAATACGAATTTTTACCTCTGTGGTTTCCAGGTGACTCTCTCAGGGAAAGTTTACTGGAGCTTTAGTCTTCCTGAAATGGCAGCAAGACTGAATAACCACTTCCTCTTAGCACAGCCAAGGAACCTCAACTGTGCAGTTGTTGCAATACAGTGTGAGGACACTCTCCCTCCTGCCTCTGCCGTACTCCCTTGCGTGCATTAATATCACTTGTTACACACACTGGGCAGTAACAAGGTTGGGAAATACCTGAGCAGCAAAAGCCACTCTGACAGCCTCGAAAGGGAGGCCAATGCTACCTTTCACTCTTCCCTGCAGTCAGCTTGTGCCTTTTTGCTCCCAGCAGCTGTAAACAAACTATATGTGGCAGTCACCAAAATCTACACCTGCACCTCTTTTATAGTCCGGACAACTGAAGCATTTTGAGCCAAGCCCCAGAAGGATGGCT